GGGCCCCATGATGCTCTGAGTTTCTTTCCCCTCCCCTCCTGCTCTGCTCTGCTCTCCTCTCCTCTCCTCTCCTCCCCTCCCCTCTCTCTCCCTATGTTTCTATATGCCACCATTACACATTACTAACTTTTTGTTTCCTCTCTCCCGTAGTGTGTCCTCTCTCTCTCCCCCTGTACCTTTCTGCAGGTTGCCCTGGCCCTGGAGCTCTATGTCTCTGACGAGCAGTCACCAGTCACATCGACCTGATCAGTGTTTGATTGTTTTGTCTTGTTGCTTTTCTTCTTTTGTCTCTCCTCTATCCACTCATCCCGGTCGAGGCAGAAGGCCGCCCACCAAGAGCCGGGGTCTGTCGGAGGTTTCTTCTGTTAAAGGGAGGTTTTCCTCTCCACTGTCGCCAAGTGCTTGCTCAAGGGGGATTTGTTGGGTTTTCCCTATGTAATAATATTGATAACAGTAAGGTCTAGACCTTACTTTGTAAAGTGTCCTGAGATGACTTTTGTTGTGATTTGGCACTATACAAATAAAATTTGATTTGATTTGATTTGATTCTCAAATATCACCCATGACTGGATGATCTGTTAAATGCAACACATAAAATGCAGCTCCAGAGAAATGTATGAGCTGAAAGTCACACATGTGCTTTGCATGGAGGACCACAAGTGCACAGAAATACTTGAAAGGCCTGTGACACACCAAGCCAATGATCGGCCACTGTAGGGCCATCAGTGGGCGTCCTTCCAGATTTGCTAAATCATTTAATTATGTTATGTTGTGGACAATCTTCTGTTCACGCTAGTGACAACCTCCCATTTTTCCTCCAGTCACATGCACACAAGCAACCTTGGAGCTTGTCTTTTGCACGTGTGCTCTTGTAGAAACCTGGTTACGTGTTTACATGGCAGAGAAATCTGTGTTCTCTGGGAGAAATCTACCTGAGGAAATCAGGTTTCCCTAGTCCCCGACCCTGATTATGAAAACCAGGTTTCCCGTTTACATGACAGTCAAGAAATCAGTGTACGCAAGAAACCCGAGTGTAACCTTATGTGCATGTAAACGTAGTCAAAGACTGCACTCACTCAATTGCAGGTGCCTCAACTGCCCTGGCCATGCCCCGCCTAGTAAAATATCTCATCAAAAAAAAGGGTTATTATTATTTTAATGTGACATACATCCAGATAAAAACCTCATCTGGACCACAGTCTACCATTTGAGTACTCCTTTCACTCCTCCATATATATATCACACACACCCCTAATTCATACATTAACTTGTTTAAATGATGTACTTGTTTTTATTAATCCCTTTTTAATTTAAACTATTTATTGATTATAATTTGATCATTTTTATAATGTCTATATTTAGTCTCCAGTTAGGTATAATTTAATGAAATAGTTCTTGTAATTATTTCCATGAGACTGAGAATTGCTGTGCTCCATTCTCTACAGCCTTGACAGAAGCGGAAAGAACAGAAGAAAGTATACTGATGCTCATCAGAGCCATCCCCATCATGCAGTCAAGACTCCATACGTGGAGCAGCAGGGTGCAGGCTTGTACTAAAATGGTATCAAGTTGTTTCAAGGTTCTAATCATATTAAAAAATCTAAGCATGCACAGATTTTCTCAAACTGATGGTATAAAATCAAAAGGGGACAGAATGAAACATGTTATATCTTTCTATAAAGAATTTATTACACATGATGCCAACTGCTATGGTACCTGACCTAGGAGTTACATTTCAAAGCATTTTATACTCTTCTAGTTTGATCCCCTTTGTTTCCTTTCTTGCTATTGTTCTTGGTCAGCACCTAACAGCCATTAGATGGGCTACAGCAGAAAGACCTTCTGCCAATATTTTTGCTAAAATGCAAATATAAACACTATCTTCCAGTGTTCTCAACAGGTGCCAGAAGAATCAACAAGCCTGAAGTATTCAAATACAAGCATGCTTTTCATGTCCCATCTGCCTGTATTGGTAGCATAGTGTTGTAACAGCCAGGCAGGAATACTTACCGACATCGACGCATGGTCATTGTTGTTATTCTGAGCAGAGACACCCCCAAACCAACCAAAAATGGAAGAGGG